ATATATATGCACTTACATCAAATAAACCTGGGCAACAAGGTATAAATTTGCAAACTTTATTAATGAAGTTGACACAAAGGCTTTTGGCCCATACTTATATGTACGCAAGAGGTCTTTGTTCAAGCAATATTTAAGTGTGATTCAGTGGCCACTCAAAGTACAATTCTTATGTTACCTATACAAAAATAGAAATACATATACAAGTGTATACAATATTGTAAGCATTTGAAACAATGATGTTACATTACCTGGGCACGGCTGCTGGTGATCAGAGGTAGATGGCAATTGGTCATCTTTATCTGTATAGAAATATAATAAACAAGAGTAGAAAGGTTGTGTAGAAACGGCAAACAATGAAAACTGAGTTATGTTGTAATTTAGAGATTTGTTAATTTGGAGAGCAGCTTATCTCAGTCGGCTAATCTGGTGGTAGCCGCTGTGTGTGCGCTGAACCGTGGAGATCTCTAGGTCCCCGGTTCAATTCCCATCGCTGCCTCTACTTCCTAGAGGGCTGAAATACAAGTTACAATAGCGCACGGTCTTTCGGATGAGACGTTTAAGCCGTTGGTCCTGTGTGCATTATGGCCCATGTGCACGTAAAGAACGCAGTACACTCTTCGGAAAAGAGTAGGGGATTGTCTCCCGGTGTACTGCCCAATCACCACCAGAAGGACCCCACTGGAAATAAGTCTTCTTCTAGACTTTCGTGGGCTATCCTTGGTGTTTACACCGAATAAATCCAATCCAATCCAATCCAATAGAGAAGATGTAAAAATAAGTCTAGCATGATTGCAATATAACTTTTGTTTAGATAAACATTGAAATACTAAACTATAGAAAAATTTTTGTGAGTAAAACCAGTTCATTTATAATTAAAGATCTGGGCAGTGACTAGAAACCAGACCAAAAACTGAATATATCACAAAGAAGTGTAGAGAAGTGCATGTTAGGAATCACCAAGATCGACAGGAAAACTGCAATATGCAGGGCACTTCGCCAGAGCAAAGGACAATGAGCAAACTTAACTGCAGTTTGCACTATACTTTACTTTATTATTTATTAATGTCACACTCAATTCTGGCCAGCCATATCTGGCTATATGAGTGACAAAGAAATATACAAGAACAAAATTATAATTTGTGACAGTACAAAACAAACAAATATATTAAAAGAGAGCGATCTTAACTCTTAGACAAGATTCTAGAATAAGAATTAGGTACTGAGGTTCAAGAGAAGACCCAAAACCAGATGAAGAGCCGAAATTAAGGGATTTGCATATTGTAGTCGAAATTTGCAGTGGAGAAAATGGGATGGTTTAAGCTTTGGGATGCTGCATTGGGCTAAAAACGGCTGGAATGATGATGATGTAATTTTATGGATTATGAAACTCTGATAAGCTTTTTAGTCCCTTCAAACTATAACCTCAATGAAGAAAATTGAGCGGGCAAAATTCAAACACATTCTAAATATAGCCTATCGTTACCTTTGTCACTTAAAGTATTCAAAAGCTTGTCATAGAAATTTTCTTCCCAACCATTGGCTACAGTTATTGGGCCCAAATAGTCTGGTATCACAGCAGCTTGGGTTATCTTCACTGGAATGAGTTTTCCATGATTCAGAGTGTTGTTATCCAGCATTTGTTGAACAGCAGTTGCAGCAACAAACTCCATATTACCAGCCACTGGCTCTGATGTAAACCCCACTATTACTTTGGTGCATCTTCTTATTGGTTTTGTCAGGTTCTCTAATTTATATTTGCCGGGTTGCCAGTCTTTTCGACTCAGACATTTCAATTTCCTCTTTTGAAGTTCGCATATCACTTGTTCTTCCCATTTAATGTCTTTACTTATGATGTAGAAATCATAATATATATCTATGAGTAAAGGTTAACAAATACATTTAATAATATAATATACAGTAATATATTTTTCAATTCAATTTTTATTGGTCCAATATATAAAAAAAGACATCAGAAAATCTTTGTTTATAAACTGCAATATATAAAAAGAGGAAATTCAATAATATGAAAGTTTAAGAAACAATGCAAATTACAATTCAAATAGAAAGGTAAAATTAATAAAGGTAAAAACAATATTCAATATATACAATTCAAATAAAAAGCTAAATTTAGAAATTACTGTACAATTTAATTGGTGATCCGATTTTGAGATATCTGTTCGCACGATATCTCAAAATTGCCGCAAGCTATGAACATAGCCGCGAGCTACGAACATTTGGCTTGGCCTGGAATAGTCACAGTAAGCTTTTCAACGTGCTCAGTCTTGCGTGACGTCATCTACGTGCAATTTTGTGTTTTTACATTATCGACCATATCATGCTAATCAATTGTCAATTCTCAATCATATATAGTGGGCATAAACTTCAGGTCAAGGTTAAATGTCACGTACCGAAATATGTTGCGTGCGCGTCATAACGCGTGCGCCAAAATTTTAAAATGCTCAAAATCACCTTGACTAAATTAGAGCATGTTTCGGGCCATTTTGAGCTTTTCAAAATTTGTTGATATTTTCCATTACGCGTGCGCATTGTGACGCGCGCAGCTCGTACGGAAGCTAGAAATTACATTTTTTATATATTTTGGGTTCCTGACATTGTAACAAAGATAATAAATAACAGAAGATAGAGCAGCTTCTCAATATAGTGGAACATCCGTTCTAAAAAATGCATTGTGGGTACACGGAGGGCAATTTTACCTCGTCCGCACGGCGGCGCTATATAGCAATAATAAAGGCACCGCTCAAGTTCGTTTGTTTCCTGTAGTTTCTCCACTTTTAGTCAAACGGTCAAATTTTACCCAATTCGCGGGAGGGCGGATGTTCCATTAATTTCAATGCAAATACGCGAAACAGCTCATTCCTCTGCTATTTAAGTTCTTTGATTGTAATCACAAATTTCCATTCTTTTTAGTAATCTTATGGCCAATAGCAATGCCGTACGTGTGCATTAAACATAGGGATCTGTGCACATTTGTGCCGATATACAGTGAAAACATGCTAAAATCAGGCCTTTTTTTAATCAGTATAGTTCCACAAAGGGTAAAAATCATCTAAAAATACACTTTATTTTAAAAAAGTAACTATTCTGACACTTTCCAACAATAAATATATATTCAATATACATACTGTACCAGTTTTGATTATCATATCAACATATTTACACGTAAAATTAATTTTTATGTGACTGAAAAAAAACCGTGGCTTTAAAATCCGCTTTTGAATACTTCTGAATTTTTTGAATAATTCTGAATTTGTTGCAGACTTCTTTAATTGTGTGAGCCTACTTTTGAATTCGTTGCAGACTTCTTTAATTGTGTGAGCCTACTTTTGAATTTGTTGCAGACTTCTTTAATTGTGTGAGCCTACTTCTGAATTTGTTGCAGACTTTTTTAATTGTGTGAACCTACTTCTGAATTTGTTGCAGACTTCTTTAATTGTGTGAGCCTACTTTTGAATTTGTTGCAGACTTCTTTAATTGTGTGAGCCTACTTCTGAATTTGTTGCAGACTTCTTTAATTGTGTGAGCCTACTTCTGAATTTGTTGCAGACTTCTTTAATTGTGCGAGCCTACTTCTGAATTTGTTGCAGACTTCTTTAATTGTGTGAGCCTACTTTTGAATTTGTTGCAGACTTCTTTAATTGTGTGAGCCTACTTCTGAATTTGTTGCAGACATCTTTAATTGTGTGAGCCTACTTCTGAATTTGTTGCAGACTTCTTTAACCCTTGGAAGTCCCAAAGCGGTCTATTCTAGGTCGCTGGGGCCCCTTAAGAAATTTTAACAGGTTTCTGAAAAACGCATAATAAACTTTCTGCAAATGTTGGGTTTGATTGTTGGGTAAAATGTAATAGGCTTCCGAAAAATAGCAAAATTGTTTGACTTTTTTACCTAGGTCAAAGGTCATGTGCCCCAAAATTGCAACTTGGGGGTCCAAAGAGGGTACTTTTTTTCCCCATAAACGACACTAAAAAAATTCCTATGCTCATAAATGATACGCATTATGTGGAATATGTTGTTTTCTGCAGAATTAAAACGTGTTTGGTTAAAAAAAAATTATGCTTTCACATTTATGACGATTTTTTTATGCCCAATGTCACAAAGGTCAGGGAGGCCATAATTTGGGGAACAGCCTCTATCACACGCCCTCTCCCCCAATGGAGGGCAAGTAAGCCCAGCTAGGCCTACAAATGCTTATTTCTAACTAGGGTGGACTACTAGATCTAAGATATATTTCACTAAAACTAGTAGGCCTACACTTGATGAAATAATAATATAATATAACAATAATAAAGAAGATGGAGGTAGGGGTATTGAAATATGAGAGGGGGGTCCATGTACATGACCAAACCCAAAATGAATGTTTGCAGACCTAGGACTAGCATTATTGTTTGCACTGCTAAAGTTTCTAGTTAAAATCTTTCCTCAGATTCATATTATTTAAATTATTAATTAATTAATTAATTATTATATAAACAATCCCGCTATCCTCGTCTATCCAAGTACATCAATCACTGACAGAAAAAATTGTCGATTTTTGCTCTATACAATTGCTTAAAGCCTTGTCTAGTTACTACGACATAAGGGAAATCCCCAAAGTCAGCAACAAAGGGCAGCATTTATTAAAACAATAGGAGAAATAGGTCCGTACCGCATACGGGCTGCGCGTCCAGGGACAGTAAATTACTCCGTATGGAATACGGACCACGACCTCAAAGGGTTAATTGTGGGAGCCTACTTTGAATTTTTTGCGGACCTCTATATTGTGCAAGGTACCTTTCAATTTGTTGCGGAATTCTTTAATTGTGCAATTCTAGTTATATTGTGCGCGACAGTTGTGGGCCACCATATAGGTTTGCTTAGACCCAAATATGATGACCAAAGAAAGTTTGAAATTAGATTGTTATAAAGCAATAAAAGTTCACAATAATAAGATAATATGCAAAATACTATAAACAAAAAATTTTGGGGATTTTATTTACAAGTTTCCAAATTATATAATAATTACCTGTACGTGTTCCTGAGATATTTTCTTGTATAGAATCCTTGTTACCTTTGTAACCTTTTGTACTCCCCCTCAGTCCTAGAGGGTCAACATTTGATTCAATGATGAGATGTGTTGTTATCTTTTTCAAAAAGTCATCCATGTTTTCTTCACAAATCTTGCCTTTATGCTCTAAGTCCACAAATAATCCCCATTTGTCAATTTTTTGTTCACATCTGTAGAGTTTTGAGACCTTCTTGACATCATTGTCAGTGAGACTTTCTACAAACTTGATCAGACTTTGTCTGTTAGGTGTAAACTTTGATATGGCGATTGTCCTGATATCAAAAGGTGTTTTCTCTGTCAACTTTCTTAATTCTGGTTCCAAGCCAAATGGTTTAGTTACATTGATAGTATCGTATAGTACTGTTCGATCTTCGGGACTCAGGTGTCCAGAGGAACGTAATAATTCAAACAATTCAATCACCTTGGTGGTAGCATATAGCTTATCAGGTTCTGTTACAAGATCTTTGTACAAAACCTTCAGAATATCGATGTATCCATGGTGATCATACCATTGTGACATGGATATTAATACCTCTCTAAAATCTTCATAAATATAAAATAAATTTCACTTTTTTAAATGACGAGATTTCTGAAAAGGCAGAGTGTTTTCTTTTTTTATTTATTTTTGTGTGTGTGTGTGTGCAATAGCCAATTCAATTAATGACCAAATACTGTGTCACAATTATAGACTCTTAACTTAACCAAAAAGCATTTTATAATAATAATCTTGGTAGTCATTTGTCATCCGAGTGTATGGTACTGTAGATATGCAAAGTTTAAATGTTAAATCTGTATGAATTGTATTATAGTTTTTTTTAACTAATAAATAAAAAGTACTAATAAAAAACTAATAATATAATTAACAACATAGTTCAGTTAAAATTGTTTGTATAATTACAGCAGGCCATAAGAAATGCTGAACTCTTAAAACAGTTTCACTAAAACATTTACTCACGATATTTATCTAATCGTAATGTTTAAACTTCATAAAAAGTGTTGTACCAGAAGGTTGAATCTAAGGTTAAGGAACTACATCGTACAGGTGTTACCTACTCGCACGTATGCGAAACATCGTGCTTTTACAAGTCCAATCCTACCCCAGAGAAGACCTTTAGTTAACATAACCAGCAAATTTAAGTTTATGGAATTATCTAAATTTAAAAGGCATCGTGTAAAATTTGAAGGAAAATGATGATTAATCCTACAGAATTTACTGTACCTCTTGTTGACGTACAATTGCTAAATCCAATGCCATTTTTTTAAAACATAAAACATTGTTTCCAATCAGCCTTTCACTCGCCTTCCCGAGTACAATTAGGCCTAGTGAATGTCCATGATACGAGAGTACGCCCAAATGCAACATTGATAGATTTTAGCTTGGATGTTTATAAGGCCCTTCATACCAAGATACTGTAGAAGTCGTGACCTTTGAGAGCGATGAGGAAGTGAACCACAACAGGGAGCTGATCAGATCAATGGATGAATTGCATCCCTCTCTACAAAACTGTACCATTCACTGTACCTACCTACTGACTACCATGTAGCGTCATTTTCAATCTACGTTTAAGTACGTGGCTTTTGAAATAATAATTTTCATTAAAGGTACAGTAACTTGACAAATTCTTTAAAAAATTGTACTTTGTGTGCTACTCTAATAGTAATTAAAAAATTCTAAGGCCAAAAGGAAAAGCAAACAATCCAGCCTTTTCATCATCATCGAGTGACTGTTTTTAGACCAATTGAACAACACAGTTTCACATGTAAATCGGCCCATCTTGAATGTTCAATAATGTAGACATTTTAAAAACATAAATTTCACGAATTTCCCCTTAAAAGCTTCATTATTTAAATTTTCCAAGCATTTTCCTCAATATACCATTGATTACAGACAAATATCGTGAGAGATGAAGCCTCTGATAGCAAATGTTTTGTCCTCAAACACAATGGACCATTCGCTCATAACGAGTGGCCTAAAAACTACAATTTAATAAATTTCCTGACTAATTATTTCTGTCATACAAATGTATTCTTAGAGCTAGTACAGTAAGTAACAGACGACTTCATGCACATTTTACCAAAAATGTTGGACTCTTTGAACATACAGAGGTCATTCACAACAAAATTGGCAGTTCACCTCTAGGTGGGGTGTCTGACATAACGACCATATGAAACTTTCTCAAAACCAATTGATTTTTCTTTTAAACTGACAAAAAATATCAGGTCGGAAAGGTATTGTCAATCCAGGATTCAAATTTTGAACATAAGTACCTCATTAAATTTTATGAGCTTGTTTCCAAAACAATTCAGGGCACTAATACTCGAAGCATACAGTGGTTATGTGAAAGTGATAAGTTTCATGATCATTTTAAATTTTACTTAGAATTATTTTTCAATCTGAATTATTTTTCGTTCAAGTTTAACTCACTTTCTGATGTGTCTCCTTCCATAATGACTCAGTCTAACAAATTATCAACCTATATGAGGAGTAAACAAATACAAAATATATATCTAGGTAACAGTAAACAATTGAAATAATGAATGTACTTAGAACTACTGACTAACTTATACTTTGGAGTGGAGTTGAATAGCATATTGGTTTGTTTGTTTGTTTTTATTGTTTTTACCATACACATATGAAATATAAGTTAATTAAATATTACAATTAAAATTACATTTTCTAATCCAAAGCAAAGAAAAAAAAAAGTGTGCAGACTTAGGAGGTCTTACTGTAAGTAAGTTTGTAAAACAAATTTTAAGACATGACCACCAGTTAAAACAAATAATAAATAATACAATAAATGGCGTTTTGCGTCAGGAGAATTAATACAAAATCATGCCTAATCCCACCCAACGCGCCGCACGTACCGAATGCCCTGCATACTCCCAAACACCCGCGAAGAAAAAAAAAACAACTCACTGGTTACTTGAAGGTCGTGGGCTCAATTCCCACCAGAATCATTTACAGAATGTTCCCCGCAAGTACCCGGGAACGCACTGAGCACCCAGCACATACAACACGCCAAGTAGGGCAAACATAATAATAATAAAATAATAATAAAATCTTTCTTTTACAACGGAAGCTCATTCACCAAGGTGGTGTTCTTCCACGAGGCCGTATCTTTAACATATCATATAAAACTTAACTATAAAATGAACAACTAAAACAAGAATTACTTACAAAAATACAGATGAAAGGAAAATAGAAAACCTTAAAACCAGAGATCCAACCAAATAGTCTGTACTTATATGTTACTGTATGTTGAAATTTATGTTGAAATAAATCTTTTTAAAAATTTTAAGGGTGGTACTAATTTTTGTGGTCTCATCAATATTGTTCCACGATATGTCAAACTCTTTTTCTTATACTCTGTATTAGGTTTATCTATAGTTATTTGCAGATCTAGTATTATATGCTTGTGGCCTTTGTGAAAATTTATTTCCTAAATAGTTAAAGTCATTCGTTTTATTTTTATTTTGTACATCATGTGCTTGTGTACCAGAATCATATTTTCATTTATTTGTTATTATTTTAGCGGCTCTGTTCAGTAATACTTGTAATTTATTGCTTAATGTTACATCTACCCCACACAACATTGCAGTAATCAAAATAAAGGTCCACTGTGGCAGATCCGTGGGGGGGGGGGGGTTTAATGGGTTCGGACGAACTCCCCCTCTGTGAAGAAATGTAACAAAATACAAGGGTCCTGACTTACAAAAAGCATGCTAACCTACGTAGGCATAGGTTGGAAGATCAGACAAACTAGGCTTACAGTAGCCCAACTAGTTTTCAATTAAATAAATTATACACACTGTTTTTGGTTCGCCGTCGTAATACAGTATGTACGAAAGTGAGTTCTTCAGTCCTATCCGTTCATCGATCCATGGAAGAAAGACTACATATCTAACTACTCAATGTTGTTGGAATATAATCATACTGTATATTGCCTGTCTTTGATTATTCTTTCTTAAATTATTATTCTTTCTTAAATAATCATAAACATTAAATTTTTTCATGTGACTTATTTATGCAAAATGTGTTTAATTGTTAATAAGTTTATTATGTATGTATTTTTATTTATTGCACAGGTTTATAAAAGGATACTGTTGTGTGATTAATCCTGGTGCTATCTAAGACGGAGTCGACGTTAAGGTAAACAAAACTCCAAAAAAAAAAAAAAAGTGTTCAAAATGCATGTTTGCATACATTTTTATATCAATGGAAACATCTTACTTTAATCTACAGTCTGTGTATGATGATGGTGATCAGGCATACAGATTTCAAGAAAAATACAAAAACAGCGTGGTGATTAATCCTGAGTGTGATTAATCCTGGTGCTTTCTAAGACGGAATCGACGTTATTAAAGGTAAATAAAACTCAAAAAAAAAAAAAACTGTTTCAAAGGCATGTTTGCATACATTTTTATATCATTTGAAACATCTTACTTGAATCTATTATACTGTGTATGGTGATGGTGATCAGGCATACAGATTTCAAGAAAAATACAAAAACCTTGAGGTGTCCATATCATTGCTACCACAATGTTTGCAGACCCTTGAGCACTTGAGCAAATTTAATCGCTAAAGAATGGAAATTAAGCAGACGTAAATGATTTGGTCAATAAAAATAGTATTTACAACAGATAAAATGATCAAATGAAGCAAAAAATTATTGAGACAGTGATGCAAATGAATGTCCTACAACTGTTTATAATAAAGAGGAAGACTTTCAGATTGCAGTGATATTAGCAATACATGAAGATTATTGCTCAACATAGGGTTTTACACAGTAAAGGACAATGTAATAAATGAATGCCTTCTTTATACATGAAAATGATGGTAGTTGTTTGTGTGGTCCTCTGGAATACCTTGTGTAGTACACAAAAATAATGAAAAACAACCGTATATTTGTAAGGAAGCTGGAATTTTTTTAGGATTCTGGTGATATTTTCCCTTCTTCAAAACAGAAAATGGCTAATATAAGGGGGAATTTTTACTTACATTTCCAAAAGTGAGTTAGCTTACCACCCTAAAATATGTTATTTTGGGTTTAAAAAGTCAACATCAGTTATTACATTCATGTTTTGTTGTGATGGCCCTTCTTAATTGGTAGTATTTTGTATATAATTTTACGTTACTTTCAGTATATTATTGATCTTTCATATATAAGTTTGTTACAACTGATATCCAATAATGACTAGGCTATAGAAACATGTCAAGAGTTGTGTGTGGTATAGTAAATCTACAGTAGGTTGTCATAGCAACCGGTGACCACATTGACCACTTTAGGAATTTTAAGGAGCCTATCCAAGATGAGGATGACTCATACGAGAGGGGTCAAGATCATTTTGGAGGGAAAGTTCGATTGTGGTTTGGCGGGAAGGAATTGACCAATAAAAGGCAGATTTTCCTAAGCCAGTACTGAAGCCCAAATTTGTATATCCAAGGGTATAAATTGGGGTACAAAATGATATTTGGGGAGTCTTAATCCATCTGAAGGGCTGCCATGAAGTACTGATAGCTTTCTCCATCTTCTTTGCTTGAACTATAGATATGTGTGGTAAGTCTCACTTTCATTATGCTGTCTTGACCACTGCCACTGATTATCTTCGTTTTACTGTACTGTACATATGTTTTAACTTTGACTAATGTAAATAAATTTGTATATAACTGTACATCTGTTGCCATGATCTCTTTCTGTTGTTATCAAATGTTTTAGCCAGGCATTTGCCATAACATTGTAAATTAAACAAATTTATTTAGGGTATTGAAACTGCTGTTAAGTTCTTTAATTTTGGCGGCCATTTTAAAATGCGCCCTCAATTGCCTCCCAAAATCTTCACATTTTAAATAACTTTAGCTAGTTATACTTTACTCCTATCATTACATATTCAAAATTTGGTCAAAACTACCTCATCCGTGCTTATTTTACCCATATGTAGTTTATTGGATTTTGGCGGCCATTTTGAAAAAAACGCCCTTACGCGAAAGTTCTCGGATTACACCCCTTTTACCTCAGATATTCTGATTCCCCATAAAAAACTGGTCTAGAAAAACCATTAGAATTTCTACCTCTCCAAGTGGCACCTATCTTAATTATAGCCTGGTCTAATAGTGATATTTAGGATATTAGTGTAGAGAAATAAATTTTAAAAAATCTTGCTTTCTTATTCAATAAGGATTTTACTGTAGAAGAACTGAATTCATCAGCTTATTTTATTTTATGTATTTTATTATGTATTTTTTTATTCATTTATATATATTGCTATATATATATA